GTATATATCATATCATCATGTATCATCATATATCATATACAGTATATCATATCATATCATCATATATCATATCATATCATGCATGTTCGAGAACTCCTGTAGTGTCCTGAGGCAGCCAGGCAGGGGAGCAGAAACCACCGGTTGGGACCTTTTGGGATCAGCTCCTCCTCTGGTATGTGTCTCCAAGCTGAGCTTCCTCATCACAGAGCACACACCCACCTGGCCCTGTGTTGAAATGGGCGCGACAGAAGCAGAAGGGAGTTCTTAAAGAGACAGAGGCCAATTTCCAGGTGTTAAGAAACAGATATGATGAGAAGTCAAGTTTATTTTCTATTTATACATATAAACAACATTTTAATAACAACTAAAGGTGACATAGTTACTTTATTGTGGTATAGAATTTAAATATATGTGTGAGAAACACTTAATATTGCCTCTTTAAATAAAAGCTCACACATCTCCATCCATCTCCTTCGTCCTCAGACTGACCCACAGGCCCCTCCCCAACAAGAGAAGTTTCAACACAGAGCATGACAGTGCTACTAGCTTTTTTAAGTTCGTATTCCTCACGCACGCTGGGGGTGGGGGATCAGCCACAGATAAATAAAAGCACAGGCTTATGATGGCACTGATCAGCTGACTGATTTAAATACACCTTAACATTCATGAGGCACTTTGTATTGACTGTCCATGGTTGAGTGTGCTTGTAGAGGGCAGAACCTGAGGCGGGACCTGGTGTGCATACTCTGAGGTGCAGCTGTGATCTATAAAAGAAAATTACAGTACTTGAAGGTGTGCGTGTTTTTATAAATCAGAATTTATTTTGGCGTATGCCATTTTCACCCGTTGGCTGTTCGTTCAATTTTAGTGTGAATTCTACATAATCCTTTATAAATGAGGCCCCATATTAAGATGAAGATTACTTTGTTTGTCTAGGTAAACTATAGATATTAAACTGTATCCATGTTGCCTTTGGTCAAAGTTACAAAGAGCTGCTGTTGAGAGAGCAAAGAGCCCCTGCTCTAATCTATACTTTGTGCAGCAAGAAGGTTTCTTTAGTTCAGTGCATGAAAAAGTCCAAGTCTTCACTCTGACAGATTGTTTTCCTGACTAGATGAAGGGTTCTGTTAGACACATCCTCTAATTATATCTGATGGTGTTCAGCTAAATTACAGCCACTCCACTTTTTACTCTTGACTGGCTGCTACATGTTTACCTCGTTTGTGTAGAATTTCTGCTACGTTGCAAATTTAATAGTAATTGTTTTGTTTTCTTACTCCTGCATTTAAAAGGGCATTCATGTGATAATAAAAATAAATTGTTTTTTGTTATGTTTGCAGTGAATAAAGATTATTATTTAAGATTAGAGCAGTTACAGATTTGTTATGTCT